ACTAGTTTGACTAAAATAATTAATTTGCCCCAAAACAAATAAAATTATATAAAAATGATGAGTATTTTTTTGTTTTTTATTTTTTTCATCAAACTAATTTGTAGTTTTTTGGACCAAAGAAAAAATAATAATAATAAATACTTTTTAAAAACTCCATTTGTTTTTCGTTCCTTATCTTCAGTGTAACAGAACAAGAAGATCAAAACATTTGATTCCAACACAACCGTGACAGAGAGTCTCGAGACAAGCCAAAATAACATGTATGTTGTAGCTTATCACTACAAGAATCTGCACTTTTAGCGACCATTTTTCGCGACCAATATAAAAGTTGGTAGCTAAAAGTTACCTTTTGGCGACCAAAAATTTATTAGTCACGAATGATCATTATTTTTGGCGACCAATATGAGTTCGTCGCAAAAGGTCATTTTTTGGCGACCAAAAAATGAGTTGGTCGCAGAAAGTGGTATAGTTTTGGCAACCAACTACAAATTTGGTCGCAGAAGGTCACATTTTGGCGACCAAAAAATAAGTTGGTCGCGGAATATCAAAAATAAGTTGGTTGTGGAATTGGCGACCAAAAGTTTGGTCGCCAAAAACTTATTTTTAGCGACAAAAAATATTTTAGTCGTTGTATATTTGGTTTTGGCTACTAAAACAATGTAGTCGCCGAATGGAAAATAAAAAATTATTTTTTATCTTTTGGCGACCAAAATTTTGGTTGCCAAAAAACTTTTTTTTAGCGACTAAAAAATATTTAGTCGCGTATATTGAATTTTCGGCTAACTAAAAATAATTAGTCGCTCAAATGGAAAATAAATATTATTTTTTTTCTTTGGCGACACAAAAGTTTGGTCGCCAAAAACTTATTTCAGCAACCAAAAAAATTTTAGTCGCCAAATTAGTACTTTTAACGACTAATATTTAGTCACCGTTGATTGAGATTTAGCGACTAAAAAGTTCGGTGAAGGTACCTTTTCTATGACTATTTGGTCTTTTGGTCGCCAAAAGTTCCGGGAGGAAATTTGGAAATGTGGGGGTGGGAATTTGAAATTTTTGCGACAAAAAAAATTTGTCGCCGGATTTGTTAAACGCGTCACTAGAGCGTTTTTATTTTATTTTTATTTATTGTCTTTTAGTGTTTTAAATTTTTTTTATAAAAAATAAATATTATATTATACTAACGTAAACCTAAAATTTTAAATTTAAAAATGATATAATTCACTCCACCAGTAAAAAATAAAAAAATCACTTGAGATTATACTTGAAAAAAAATAATTACTTAAAAATTATTTTGTCACAAATTTGATAGCAAATTAGTGCTAAAAGTTTGCATAGCAAATTAGTTCCTAATCCTTGGTAACAAAAAAAATGGTCTCAGAAAAACGTTTTTAATTGACCACAAAAAATTAAACTTTATTTTAATAAAAAATATTTTTCATTAAAATATTACCCTAACTTCTACTAAATAAAAATAATAATAATTTTTCATTAAAATAAAAATAAACAATAAATTTCAAACCTTAGAATTAAAAAAAAATAAAAAAATAAAAAAAAAATATTAACTACAAAAAAAAGTATAAAAATAAATAAATAAAATAAAATAAAACAACTCATTCACACCACCTCTTCCTCTTCTTTTCTTCTTTTCTTTTCGTTTCCCCCTCTTTCTATCCAAATTCCCCCTTCTTTCCCCCCGTTTTTTTCTCACCAACTCAAATCTCCAATCCTGACCCTTGAACAAAAAAAAATCCCCCCAATTTCAAAAATCTCCAAAATACTCTCTCTCTCTCTCCACATCTCTCTCTCTCTCTCTCACGTCTGCAAGCAGCGGCAATGGCAGCAACAGCAAGGGGGGACGATGGCGAGCAGCGAGCAACGACGGTGAGCACCGAGTGACGACAGCTAGCAGCGGCAGCGGTGGTGCGGCGTCTCAGATACCTTTGTCGATTCAACCCGCTCCTCCGATTGAGCTATTAGGGTTTTGCCCCAAAACGAAAACCGACTAAGGTAAGCCTCTCTCTTTCTCTCTCTCTCTCTCTCTCTCACACACACACGCACACACGCATTTCAATCCAACATATATGTATATGCACATAAGTAATTGAGGCTTAGTTATGAACATTTGTGTTAATGCAGAGCCTAGAAAGCTTGAGAAAATTACATAATAGTATATGAAGATTCAATTTTTTTTTTTTATTTGGGGAAATGGTGCAAACGGGCTCAGGCTAAAGGATCAGTTGTATCATCTATGGCAATGCAAGGATCAAGCACAGGTAGTGGGAATTTAATTGCTGATGGAGTTGAGGGCAGAGGTGGCAAAATTAAAATTCTGAGATCTCTAAATTAGTCATCATTGGTGGGTTTTGTCTTTATTTCTCATTAAAGTCTTAAATACAAGGTCCTTAGGTTGTAGCCCTTATACTTGAAACTCCCAATTTATTTGATCAGTTGATTTTGCAATTAAATTTTGTACCTGCTCTTTGATAATGCATTCAGCATCTATCCGATTATACATCCTCATTCAGCTGGACACTTCGTTACTTGAGTGATCAACCATGGGTTGTCTTTGTAATTTGTTCATATTTTCTATTGCACATGGAACTTTCAACTTCAACGTTACATTTCTGTACAAAATTGTTTAGAGCACTCTAATTTTAAGAATGGAAATTCATTTGTTTTCTCTGATGGTTCCGGTATTGTGAATGATATGATAGGAGGGAAACCTCAACTTGGTAAAAGATGCAAGTTTGGAGCAAAAACATTTAGTTTGCACTTTGCAGTCTCTATGATGCTTGCAAATTAAAGGTCAATAATCAAATCTGGAAGGTGCGCACCAACTGTGTTTTTGATGTATCAATTTGATGTAGAGAGATGAGAAAAGTTTATTTTTGCTCACTATATCTAACCATGAATGTGAGAATGAAAAAAAAAATGTCGCAAAAAGTTCTCATCATAGACTTCAGTGCCCTTCTCAATATTATGAGAATTTGTTTTACGTAAAACACTATTTTCTAGAAGTTTTATACATGATCTTCCACCAGAATTATGTGTTAGAGACATTTTTGTAATTAAAAGGCATCTAGATTTTTTTTATTTTTTTATTTTTTTTAAGTGATAGGCTCACAACATGCCACATCATTTTGTATAAATTTTGGATAATATCTACAAACAGAATTTTTATGCAGAAAACATATCTGAATGCTGGCGGGTGTTTTGGTTTGAAATGAAAATATCACAGAAGGTCACATACATGGTTATTACGTATGAGAATTTTATACAAAAACTGTTTGTATAACATTACTCATTATTTTTGTTTATTCTTAGTATGTTTCTTGTACAATACTCTTGTTTATATATGTATTGTTCCATCCAAGCTTGCATCAACGCCCAGCGTATCATCAATTGCTGCACAAAAGTGTTGCGCATGCACACTCCTTGGATGCTGAGTGCTCTGGAAATAAGGTAAATATGACTATATTGAGTTCTTGTCTCTATTTTTTATTTTCATATTATGCTGGAAAATGAAAGTGTTGGTAGAGGTATTAAAAAATCTATAGTGAACTGCATGTGTAGGTTTTGGTCCAAGTAATGTTTGTGCAAATGTCTAAATGATTTTTGTGGTTTAACAAATCAATTTGAACGTCTGAATGGTGCATTTTTTCTGTTTAATTCTCTACCCACAGTCTTAGCAATCCTCTTTAATTTGTGGAACCATCCTATTCACAATTTGCCCTTAGTATCTGAAATTAAGTAATATTTTGCATGTAGTTTAGGACCTTGAATTTGGTGAACGTATGACATCTTTATTCCTCCTTAATTTTCCCTGCCATGAGAATATATTTAAGGAATATGCTAACCACTGCCCAATGAGCGGTGGTTAATGTTGATATGTATAAAAATTGTGTTAAAATATGTAAAATGTATAGGAATATATGAGTTTAACATTATTTAATTCTTAACGTAAGTTCATTAGGTGGTTCTTAGTAGGACCCTATATTTAAAATAAGAAATTGAAAGCTATGTCAAAAAGGAGCAACTATTATCACATATCGCTATACAAACTTGAATCCAAACACGTTTTTGTATCACTTTGGAATCCTAAATCAACAACACATGCATAGGTTGTGCTAAAAAAGTCAGGAAAGAGCTAGGAAAGTGGTTTTTTTGATGAAATTGTGGAAGCAAACTAGGAAAAAAAAGTGGGTAGTTGGAAAAATTAGAATCTTGCAAATCATATTCTGTCAAAATGTCCTTTTCATAATTCCGAGTAAAAAAAGTGATTAGTGTTCAATGTAGAATCTTGCAAATTCCTCAAATTTAATACTTGAATGGTTGATTTGAAAGGTGCATGGATTTAAGATAGCCTAGCATCATCTCTGGTAACAGGAACAAAAGGTAAAAAAGATGTAAACAATGAAATTAAAGACCAGTGAAAAACTCAAGGCTTGCCTGTTTGGTGATGTTCTTTGCAAACTAAACGTTAATCATTCCTCCTAAGATTAGTTTGAAAAAAAAAAAACTTATACACATGTGGAAATGGATGTGTCTTTGCCATCGGTGTGCATCTTTGATTCAGCCATCATGGGATGAGAATCGATTGATGATCAGAACAGGGGGGCAGATTTAGATTCATTATACCAGAAGTATACTGACAGGATGCGATGGTTTGATTTACTCAATCATGACAGAAAATAGCAATGCAATCAGGTAATTTGGACCCCAGTTTTGAATTGGTCATATATACCAGAAAAGTCATTATGTTATTTGGGTCATTATCATCTGATCATGGTTGTTTTTAACATAGCTGCCACTCTAGCACAATTTTAAATCCTACCCACAGAAAAAATTATAAAACCATATAATGAACTGAATCTGAAAATCATAATGCTTCTTGGGCAGAGGTACATAATCATAGAATTGTACATTTTCCCTGTTGCTGTGTGTTTGCTTTCTTTCTTTTAGGTTCTGCATAATGCTTTTGTAGCAAGAAGCATATCTTGATGTTTCATTTTGATTCTGAATGCTGTGCAAAAAACAAAAAAAAATTGGTTTAAGTCTTGGATGCATTTGTTTAGTATTCAATTCTTTTTTGGTTTCAGGATTGGACACAGTATGATAACTGATGCTGAGCAGAGGGGTCTTATAACACCAGGGAAGGTAACATAACCATGAATACAACCCTTACCTCGTATTGTATAAAGGATGTGTGCAATCTTGATGTGCTTTGCCTTTTGTTTTTGCTGTATTTGGACAATAGCAGCCCTTGTATATTAAGGCAGCCCTTCCATAGATAGGCCGCCTTAACAAAAATTTGAGTCCATGAAACTAATTTTTTTATGCACCATCAGCACATAAACACTTAAATCAACAGCTGTAATGTACCTTTAACCCTAATAATAATATATCTTTTGTTGTAAACAAATGATCTGAAGTAGAACACAGCATGAATGCATTTAACACATCATGGTGTTATTCTTCATCTTAGCTCAAAATGCTTCCTGTAAATTTGTATGGCACGTTATGTCCTCAATATGTTGATAATCACTTTAGTTTAGATTAACATTTATCCTGTCTATCAAAAAAATAAATTAATTAATTAAAATATATCCTGTTTACCATTCTGATGCAACAATTTTCTTCTTTTTTCCCCATCTCCTCCGCCCCCCCTCTATCTAGAGCATTCTGGTGGAGCCAACTAGTGGAAACACTGGCATTGGACTTGCATTTATAGCTGCTTCAAAAGGATATAAGCTCATATTGACAATGCCAGCCTCAATGAGTCTAGAAAGAAGGGTTCTTTTTAAAGCTTTTGGAGCTGAGCTTGTTTTGACTGATTCTGCTAAGGGGATGAACGGAGCAGTTCAGAAAGCTGAAGAAATTTTGAATAGCACGCCAAATGCCTACATGCTTCAACAATTTGACAATCCTGCAAATCCAAAGGTATTTTGCTGCAATTTTTTTATTCTCTCCCAAGCACCATGTTCCTCATCTTCAAATTCCCCATCTTCAAATTCTTCAAATTCCTCACTAGCTTTTGGCCTTTTATCATTCTGCAGGTTACAAACAGTCGAGGAGATGTTCTCCAATGTAGTCATTACATGCCTATTGTTCGTCCAGAAGGAAAGGCTTTGCCTTGTGTATTCTATTGCCATGGAAACAGGTTAGAAAATAAATGTAGATGAGTAGAGATTGTTCTTATAGAAAAAGTAAGGATAGTATATGGAATATCAAAGGTCTGTCTAATAATTTTTCTAAAAATATAGGTCCTTTACTTGCTTTCTGTCATAGTATGGATGAGTATTAAACTGGTAGATAATTGAATTAGCTTTAACAAATTCATTTTGTAAATCTGTTTTACTAACAAGTTGTCTGTATTGATTTTACCAGTGGATGCAGGGCAGATGCCAGTGAAGCGGCTATAATATTGTTGCCTTCAAACATTACTGTTTTCACCCTTGATTTCTCAGGGTCTGGACTATCTGGAGGAGAGCATGTCACATTAGGGTGGAATGAAGTAAATGGCTGAGCAAACTTAGAATAGTTAGAATGAAGTAAATGGCTGAGCATGTCACAAGTTATGTTTCAAATTGTTATGCTAGATGGATGTGACTTGTGAATGAAAACTTAAAATAGTTGTATTGTGTCGAATGTTAATGAATTATGTATTGTATCGAATGTTAATGATTCAGTTAATTTGAATGATGCTTTAAAATTATAGGTTTATTATGGATTGAATAAATTATTAGGAATTACAAGTGTATTGTTTTCCTGCTTTGGCGACCAATTTATTAGTCGCGACAAATAAATAATTTTTTTTCGCAAATAGTAGTTATATTTTTGGATGGGTGTGTATAGAAAATATTTAGTAGACTACTAGTTATATTTTTCGGTTGATGTACATGGATAAAAATTTTAAACATAATAACAAGTATTTGTTATGTCTTAAATTTTTATGTTAGATGAAATATGTAGTTTGGAATTATTTGTGGATGAAAACTTATAATAGTTGCTGATTTTAATTAAACAGGTTCAGAAATGGTTGATCTATGTATTTTGTTGAATGTTCATGATTCAATTTATTTGTTAGTTTGAATGATTTTTGCAAATTACAGATTATATTGAATAAATTGGATGGATTATTATAAATTACAGGTTTATTTTGTTGGATGTTGGCGACCAAAATTTGGTTTTGTTTTTCTAGTTTTGGCGACCAATTGATTAGTCGAGAAAGACAAGTTATATTTTTGCCGACTAAATAAAGTAGTCGGTGTATCACCAAGCACATTTGGCGACTAAATAATTAGTCGTTAAAATTATTAATTTTGGCAACCAAAGGATTTGGTCGCGAATAGGTCTATTGCCGACTAAAGTTTTAGTTGCGCAAAACATGTTTGGTCGCGGAATGTGACAATTGGCGACCAAAATCTTTGGTCGCAAAATGTGACAATTGGTGACCAAAATTTTTTTATCGTGGAATGTCACAATTGGCGACCAAACTTTTTGGTTGCGAAATGTGTCAATTGGCGACTAAGATATTTGGTCAAGAAAATATAATTTTTCGCGACCAAAGTGTTTTAGCGACAAAATGAATTAGTCGCGGTAATTAAATATTTAGTGACTAAAAATTTGGTCGGCGAATCCAACTTTTGCCGACCAACCAAAATTTTGGTCGCGAATTACTTTTGCCGACCCTCAATTGGCAACCAAAGTAGCGACCAAAAATATTGGTCGCGGATAACTTTTGCCGACCAAAAATGGGCTTTTAGCGACCAATTTTTTGGTCGGCAAAAGTGTTAATTCTTGTAGTGTATGGTGAAACAACATAAGCTTATTTCAATTAATTTTTAATATCAAATTACAAGTGGATTTGAAAAGGCAAGTTGGTAAGGTTTTTGCTTACAGAAGCTATTTTCCCCTAAACATTCACTTAAATATCTCCTCTTTATCCAAATATTACCATCATGCTCTTGTATAAAGGGTCCATCCCTCATTTTTCTTCTATTCCTGAATCTCTACAACTAATAAGGGTAAAAAAGACAATTACACAACAAAAGTCATTTTATAACTTACTTAAACAAACACTAATCCCTGAAACTTAAATTTATAATCCAACTATAAACTATAATCTATTAAGTAAAAATCCATAATCTATTCTAACAGTCGCAGAAAAAAAGACTTGCAATTCTTGAATCTTGAACTAACACCAATGCAATTCAAGATTTTCACTTCATGGCCATAAAGCTTTTTACTAGCCCCAAAATCTCCTTGCGCATCTCGGCAACAACAGGTGGATTAACCAGCTTATTCATCGTAGAAAACCACAACCCATCTTCATCTTTCAGTTCACTTTTGCTTTCATACCAGCTGCGTATAGCTTTCGCAATAGCTGCAATGTATAGACCGCAATCATAGCCATTCACTTGCTATAGGGTTTTAGAGTACTCAACATATTTACAAGCTGATGCTATATTCGGGATCCCCATATATCCAACAATAGCTCTGTAAAGCTGTTTGGCACGCTCAGCATTAAGTCCTCCTCCGTAGCTATCATGATGCATGAATACATTTGCGTTTCTCTCAAACACGAGTAAGCTCCAATGGTTCCCACCTTTGGCTTCTGTCACATCATCGTTGTTATTGACAGGAAATATTACTAGTTTCTTACTAGAGAGATTTAAGGGGTTCTATGAAATCCTTGAGGCTTTCGATGTCTGGGCAGTTTGCTATCCAGAAAGCAATTGAAGGTGAAACCAGTAGGATCTCCTCGGAAGGATAACATGAAGGAAGACAACTGAAATAAAATTCAATGATGCGATCATTTAGAAAATATAGACCACTGAGAATGTCCAGATCTGATCGCCTGAGTACAACATCGTTGTAGCAGAGAATCTTCTCATCTGCTGCGGATTTCCTCATCTTGTAGATGTCAAATATGTATACCTGGTGAAATAAGTTGATTTTGGTAAAAATATGTACAGGGGGAAAAAAAACTTTAGTGGCTGAATTTCATAATTAAATGATTACGGAAGAAGACATAAATAAAGTTGATAGTAGTAGAGTTTGTTGAAATTTAATGAGATATCGAAGAGTCAAAATATGCAGATTATAGTCTAACACGGTTTTTGCCAAGAGTCCAAGACCATCAATGCCAGTCTTTTTACCTTTGCCTAGGTTCATATTGCAAGATAAATTTCAGCAATCCCGACAGCTGTACAAAAAAGCCTCGAGCTATTTTCTTGCACTTCATAGGAATTTTTGTTGTCTTTTCGGGCAAAACTTTCCTTCTTTTTTTTCCCCTCATTTTTGACAAGTAAGGTTCAAGGTTTCAACCACAATATTTAAAGATACTTTAAGATTTTAGAAAGGATTGAAAGCTTAGCAAGGAACATTTGGAAAGATAAAACAACAAAAATGTCATTTTTCTACCTTTTCTTATTGGGGTTTTACCCGGATACCCAATTATCCCCTCCCAAAAAAAAAAACTGTATAATTGGACCTTGTAAACAGTCTATTCAACTCCACCTCTTTCCGCCATCCTACTACAAGTGCCAAAATGACCTTTGGCAATCAATTACTTTGGTTGGTGACAACATGTGCCAAAGACAATTTCCACTTGGTGACCCTGCTACCCCCTACGCATTTATGCCATCAATATGACCCGGAAAACCCCAAAATGCACTTAACTTCACCAATGCCTCTACCAATAACATGAGCAAGAAACCCGGGCCTTCCATTTAGTGACTCTTGTTTTCAACATCTCATATATGATCTTGCCCACTCCTTGTGAAACATCATAAAAATTCTACTCTTGATGTCATGATTATCAGCCTAGACAAGTATGGAAGACAGGCTTTAGGAGGCTAACACTAGAAATAACGATTTTGTGCCATTTAAAGATTTTTTTTTTTTTTTTTGACCGAGAGAAAGTAATTGTGGTACTAGAATCACAAAAGCTTTGTGAGATAAAATGGTGCCTAATGCTTCGGCTAATATTATAGCACACCAGTGTTCCCATTACTCTAATAGGGGAATTTTCCACATGCTACACTCTATAACAATGAACTAGTAAAGTTGTCTGCATTAGCTAAGTCAATAGGGTTTACAAGTGAACATGAAAGATTTTGATCACCTTTTTTGAAGTTTCAAGAATGTTTAATTGAGAATATACAACTTGAGAGGCTTTCTTTAGTAAGTGTGATAACCTTAACTTCGCCATTGGGAATGCTTAAGGAACCAAATTTATGGTTACCTCAGTTTCCTACTTCCTCAACATCATTTCGTTCTTTATCTTATTTATTTTCTTCTTTTCTTCCAATTATCTGTAGTTCTACATTTCCTAGTGTTAAATTCTGATCCACATTTAGCTGGACCAAAAGAAAACCAGTAATACTACCCCACGAGCCGTCCCCAACCAAATTTTAATCACCCTTACAAATCTACAACCTACATTAGCAATGCTCACAATTATTATGTTGAACTCTGAAATATTTGGCATCAATGTTAACTAGCATTCCCTTGATTCAATTTCAAATGAACTCCCCTACACTAATGAATATTAGAATCACTAACCAACAAAGTTGTGTGGTTATTGTCCATGCCTAAAACAGCAGAAGCACCTAGATAAATCCCATTGTCAAAAAATTTCCACTGTCATAAGGATTTAATACGGCTTATAAACTTCTTGTTTTGCAAACACTATAAGAAAACTGGGTATATGAGACGGAACTATTTGCGACGGCACACTTGCCGTCTCAAAAAGTCACTTTTTGTGACAGCAAAAAATGCCGTCTCGAAAAAGCAGAGTATTTGCGACGGCATCATTTGCGTTCAAAAAGCAGAGCATTTGCGACGGCACTATTTGCCGTCTATTTTTGAATGACGGCAAATAGTGCCGTCGACAATGCTCTGCTTTTTGAGACGGCAAATGATAGCCGTGCAAATACTCTGCTTTTCGAGACGGCATTTCTGCCGTCACAAAAAGTGGCTTTCGTGTTTTTTTTTAGTGAATATTTTTTAAATTTTAATATTTTTTTTAGATGTACCTTACTTAGATGTCTAAAATAAAAAATTATGAAAAATATTTTAAAAATTATAAATACATAAAAATACAAAAAAATGTATTGAATTATGGTATTTTTTTTGTATTTTTGGTATTTAGTGAATTTTTAAAAGATTTTGTGATTGGTGTTTTGAGATAGCTTCATATATATACAGTCACAAAAATGATTTTGAATAAAATTCAACGGTATTTTTTCTGTCGCAAAAAAAAATTAAAAAAACAATGTCGTCTTACTCTTTGATATAGCATTTCTCTTTCATTCATTTTTTCATTTTCTGTCTCTCTGTCTCTATCTCTCTCTCTTCTCTTTATCTCTTTTCATTCATTTCTCTCTATCTCTATCTCTCTCTCTTTCTATGTCTGCTGTCTTCTCTTCTCTCATTTCTCTCTTGTCTCTCTGCTATCTCTCTTCTCTCTATCTCTCTCATCTGTTTTCTCTCTCTGTC